AAAGAGATTCACATCGAATGAGGAAGTCATCGCGGAAATCGAGGCGTATTTCGAAGGCTTGGATGTTTCGAACTACAAAAAGGGCATCGAAATGTTGGAAAATCGCTATATCAAGTGTATCGCTCTCAAAGGCAACTATGTTGAGGAATAAATATAACTTTGTTCAAAAAACGCTTTTCATTAAAAATCCCGGGACTTTTCAGCCCATGTAGTACAATTGCATCACAGCGGAAAAATAAATGGATGTGTTCTTAAAATAGTAATATTTTTGTATAGAATTAGGATAAAATGCTTAATAGACTCTTACGACATAGAAGAAACGTTTATGATATAGGAACTAAGAAACTGTTATGACATAGAGAAACGTAATCAGATATGAGGAAAAATATATTAGAATGGATTTCATTCGCGTGCGACAATAATGACGAAAAATTGATCGTATTCTATTATATAAAACTTTTTATTTACATGTACTGTCATGTAACGTTATTTTTATGTAATCGAAGATCTGACTCAATATTTGAATATAAATACAAACAAATTAATACATTGCATATAAATTTGCATATAAATGTTAGAATAATTTTTCCAATAATTCTGTAGTTTATTTCTTTCTCTAATCAAATAGCAATTAAATCAAGATTGGCAAGTAACGCGCTATTTGTAACGTCGTTACTGTTATAAGTTACTTTTTGGTGACGCTTGAGTCACAACGTTACATTTTCTTCTGAATAACGTTCATAACAACGTTCAACGCAGTTACATTTCTGGAGTAATGGTAACGATTTTATTAGTTACTTTTATTCTTACTTTATGTCTATTTATTTTATTATGTCTATTTTCTTTATGTCAATGTAAAAGTTTTAATTGTAATTAGAGCGATATGCATTCGGTGCACTTTAAAGCCGCTGTACAATCGACGTAAAGATATGATTAAAATAATAAAAATATAAAAACGAGTTAAACCGCGAAATTCTCAATACATTTTATTATGCTATTTGATTGAAAATATACTTTAGGCATTATATTATCTCAGATATCTTATTTTTATATTTAGATTAGAGTATACAACAGTTTTAGTGTGCACTAACAATAAAAAGTTTTGCCAATAAAAAACGCTATTATATGCATATAATATTCTATTAATGTCAAGAAAAAAATGACTCATTACATTTTGACAGTAACGAGTTACTTTTTAGGAAAAAGAACGGTAATGATGAATTATTTTTATGAGGTAACGTTGCCAACCCTGAATTAAACAATTGAAATATAAATTAATAATATGGCTCACTTAAAATAAATCAATATAAATAAATAGAAGGGTTATGAGCCAGTTAAAAATAAATTAAGAACATTTAATATTCCGAAATAAATATAGAGAAATACAATAACAAATGTTTCGATGCTGATCAGGTCATTCTCAATGTTAAGACGCATTCCAAAATATAATATTACATACAAGTTATTGGATTCTCAGATTAAAATTATAATGTTATTAGATAACTTATGTAATATTGTAATTTTGATCTGAGAATATATTATATTTTGTTATTGTATTTCATGAACAATTAAAGTTATTAAACTAATCAGTTAATTGTGATTTAACAAATTAATGTTATGATATATTTATAAATTATATCATATAATTGTATCATATAATAATTGTATCATCGAAGCTTCCATGGACTTTAAAGTCCATTTAGATAATTTACGTTACTTCAAGATAGAAATCTGTATCCTATTATATGTGATAGAAAAAAAAAATTAGAAGAGTCAGAATATAACTGTACAAGATATATATTAATACTAAGAATATTGATGTTACTCACTAAAAGGATCATGCAAATAAATTATAAAAATACTATAAAAATAAAAGAGATAAAAAATTAAATATTTTATCAGTATAAATGACATAATTATTAATAAGTCAACAAATTTCAAATTTTTATCCTTTATGTAAAAAAATATATGTAATATTAATCTGAAAAATAGATACGATCAATAATAAATGCTCAATACTTTTATTTTTTTGTTAAAATATATCGTACGTAGATAAAAATGCATAGCATATAAAATTACAGATAAAATTCTATCCCGATATCTATATTATAGATCTAAAGCAAGCTTAACGCACTCATGAAAGTAAATTGCGTAAATACTCTAAGATTGTCACAGCCGTTTGTGCACAGCTAGACATCACAGCTAGATAGTATATTGTAAGCAGTTATTAAGAGACTAAAAATCAAATCTATTTCACAGAAGTTTAATAAATTAAATCTTGTATAATCAGAACCTCATATCTCACCTTCATTTTCACGGAAAAAGACCTATCAGCAACAAAACAAGAAATTTTCCTACGTATCCACTATAATAAAATGATAGTAAATAAGATAAGCGGCTTAGATAATTCGGCTTATGTGAGATTGTCGATTATTAATCGCTGCGTGGGTATTATTATATGATAATGTCTGTAATTAAACGGGATGTATACAATAAGGAGCAATTCGTGATATAGTTTTTATCTCCTGGCGATATCCCGGCGTCCCGTCAACAGCAGACATCATCGTGAATCTCGACCCGGTAAGATCGCTTTCATTGTGCTTCAAATTGAAGTTTTTTCTGTTTGCCGTTTCTTCTTGTTTCAACTTTCAATGACATTTAGCTCCAGAATTAATATAAAAAATTTGTATACAAAGAACGCGAGTGTTTGTAATAATCTGTCGTGAAATAGTTGAAATAGAAAATGTGGATAGAACACAGTGAAATACTGAATTCGCAAATATTTTTCTATAATTTTTTCAAATATTATTCTTGTAACTTTTAACTTCGGTTGCTTGCAATTAGTATTTAAAATATTTTGGATATAAAACTTCGTTCTATTCAAGTTTGTGGAATAATTTATACTGTAAGTCTCGCTTGATAAAATATTTAAGAATTCACCTCTTTCTTAATCATGATTACAGTAGTCACAAGTCGATCGCAAATTTGTTGTGACAACCAATATAAAATATTAATTTTAAAATTTATGCTTTAGATTATTAACGTATGATTTGGAACAAAAGTTCAAAGATTTCAAAAGACAAATTTCAAAATTTAAACAGCGATAACTTAAAATCAACAAAATTTAAATTTAAAAAACGATTTTAAAGCTTAAAATCTCTACTTTCAAAAAGTTTCTACGCCATTTGAGTTTCTGTGAGTTTGATAATTTTCTTCTCACTTTATGAGCCTGTCACGTGCCCAAACAAACTTACAAAAAAGAAGAACGTATTTAGACTCTCAAGATTTAAAAATATAAATGTTTAAAAATATTGGGCAAGTGAGAGTAATTCCGCAGTAATCTTTGCGTAATCTTTTTTCAATTTCAATATATTTATGCATTTTTTGTAATGCTTACATTGAGTTTCGGCTCACTTCAAGCCATCATTAGTGATGTACATACAATCAGGGCTTAAAAGGTTGCAACATTTTTTTTTAAATGGATTTCGGAATGCAGTCTATTCATCCAACGATTGGTTCTTATTTGTGGATTCATAAGATGAATTTGTTCTTTATTATTTGCTTGGACGTGGTAGAAGACAGTTGTAGGACATTTAAAAATGATATAATTCCATACAAATTTGATATGCACATTTTTTAATCACATTCTTGTACGCAACGGATGAGTCATTTGAACAATACAATTATAATCTGTTCATCTTTACCGTAATATTCTATCATTTTGGGTCAATTAGCATTTGAACTAACGGTTACAATTTTAAACTTGAAGAAAGGGTACATTCATTGCATACTTGAATAGAATCTTGATCTAAATAATTGTTGGTATGTACATCGCTGATGACTCGAAGTGAGCCAAAACATTCAAACTCAATGTAAGCATTACAAGAAATACATAAAAAAAGATAACATTGAAAAAAGATAATGTAAAGATTAATACGGAGTTATTCTCACTTGCCTGATATTTTTAAATATTTACTTTTAAACTTGCACAACATTTCGATTTTTTAACGTAAAACTTAAATCGAAATTAAAGTTTTCCTTAAAATTGTTTGTCAAAAATATATTCCTCTTAAGATTTTTTGTTACCATATTATATCGCGGATTAAATAAAAGGAGCATTTTGATCTTGATTATAACTTTTAAATGTTAAAAATCATCGTATTGCAATTTAAAAAATAGATTCTTAAAGATAAAAAACTTTGCTCTATCAAATAATATATTTATCAATATTTTTAAAAACATGTAGATATGACACAAATAAACACAAATAGAACTACGAATTTTCGTTCCAACTCAATCAGAATCAGAATAAGAAACATCAGGAAACAATAAGGATCTCCCTTTCTTGCTTCCTTATTGAATTGGATACGATGCTTAATTAAAAAAAAATAGAACAGGATGCGCAAGACAAGCGTGATAAACTTGCGCGTGTATCGATTAGTTATAGTGATGCCGTAGTGTTTCTTCCAGGCGATTCTCTGCGACGTGTAACGCATCATGCCCGTCTGTCTCGGTACCGATCGTTCAGGCGCTATCGAATTTAGGATGCTCAGTAAGGACAGAATCGAGGATGCTCTGATCGTACAGCAGCATTCCATGCGGCAGGAGTGCATCGCGATCGGCATGGGTATGTACGAGGATCTCGGAGCTTCCGAAGAGATGCAGTTAGTCTTCAGGGAGGTCATTAAAGACGGATGCACGGTGATTGCTGTCGATCAATCAGATCGCGTTGTCGCCGTGGCGTTCAACAAGTTACACGCAAGTAAAAAAGCGCGGTCTTGAATATTGACATAACCGACTTGATAAATATGATTTTATTTCTGGCACGTTGTAGATTTTATCGACCGCTGTCTGATAAATAGTTAATTCGTCGCGACTCGTATGACTTTAGCGATTTAGCCACCTGAGCTGGATTAATTTGACAGTAAATTGACACTTCTTTCAGTATCATAAACGATCGCAATATCGGCAAAGAAAGATGGTTTTAAAGATAATTTATAGATAAAGAAGATATTGTATGTTCCATCATGTTCGTGTATGACGCATATTGAAGATAAAGATAATTTGTCAAAGTGAAGGAAAATTAATTTTGTTATTTTTTATAGTTATTTTTTATGTTAGTTTTATTTCGCCAATCTTTGAATCTTTGAAATATCCATTTACATTTTCAGATGTTTCCCCAGCAAGAAGAGGACCCTTTTGCATTTTTTGTAGAAAATAACATCAAGCATCGCTCGTGTCGGGATTTGATTGAGTTCATCGACGGCGTAAGTCCATGATTTATCATATATTTATATCATATTTTATACACGCTGTAATCAACAATGTCAATACAAGTGTTCCAGTTACCTCTGAGATTTTGTAATTTTTTCACAAATAACGATAAGGTTGATATCTGTGCATATTATTAATTAATCTTCAGAAGGCCATCTCTCTCTCTCTCTCTCTCTCTCTCTCTCTCTCTCTCTCT